CATGTTTAGGCAAGTTCCCTTGTTGCAAGAGATGCCAAAGTGACCAACGTGACAAGGGACAGTTTCTCTGCCTTCATATCCAATGAGAGGGAAGGACACTGCCATTCCCCCCCCCCCATATTCGCAAATGCTGAATCCCACCTACTCCCATCTTACACACCAATTATGGATACACACATGAAACATCCCCTTTTGCAACAAACAAAAAGGATTACAACTCAGTGGCCAAGTATGCATCTGCCACCTGAATATTACCAGACCAGAGACTATGCTGGAACCAAAGGCGGTGATCCAAATCCAAATTCCTTCCCAGCCTATCTAGTCCTTCTTTCCCTCTCCACTCTCTCTCTTTTCATCTTGCATTAGAATGTAATGCAAGACATATCATCACAGCTTATCACCGATAAGCTATAGACATATGAATACATACACACTCTGTTTTGTGTGTCTTGTGCAAAGTATAGCAGGGCAATATAAATAAAATTTAATCAATATTTAGTATCACTTCACTTTAATTTAGCCTGAGTGAAGGGAAAAGGGGAAGCCACAGTTTGTGCAGCACTGGGAGCAGCATTAGTGGCAGCCCAACAGGAAAAACGTGGTACAACAAGAGGAGGCATTGATGTTTTAAACAGATGACCTTGGCATCAAGTCTTTCGCTTCAATCATCTGATCCCACAAAATTAATAATGTGCCACAATATCCAATTTCTGCTGTGGCATGAGGTGGGATTTCTGAAGTTATAGTGGATTTGGAAAACAATAAACCATCTCTCTCACCCACAACTGTTTACTCTGCACACACTCAACTTTTACAGTTTAACTCGAAATATGTGAAATTGCACCAATGTAAAACAAGATCCAATTAAAGCAACTTCCCCTAAAATAGTGAAGGAAGTGGCAGCAGTACTGTGGCTACTTACTTTCTAACAACAGAATTTAAAGAAACAGAATAATGATATTCTGAAGAGAAGTGACTTTTGTCTTTAGTCCGAACAGCTAAGCAAGTTGAGAAAATATATGAGGGTTAATTTACTAGAAGCAATTCTAAAGAGGTCTGACTGCTCTCTATAAAGGAGTTGCACAAAAACAGAAAATCATATGCCTATCTAACAGGAATAAAAATATATTGTTAATTGAAGAACACTCTAGATGCCACATACCTCGTGTTTGTGGGGAATCTGGTGCTAAATCACTGGCAGATGTCCTGATTATGGGTGAGGGTTTCATATGCAGTAAAGCAGCTCCCTCACTGTGAGCTACTGAGACTCAGCCCCCAGCAGCACCCCCTACAAACACACTGCAGGTTCTCCAACAGCCTCAGTATAGGCTGAAATGGTGGAGAGATAATGCTGCTAAAGCACATCCTGATGAAGGGAAAAGTCTACAGTTTACATGGTAAATGGGTTATACTGGACTATGTAAATGATCTGGGAGATTTTTATGCACACTCACAGAAGTGGAAGTAGTCTTTGGCTTGCTTAAGGGACTAAGTATCATAAAACCAGAAGGTGAGGACTGTTCTCAAGCCTAACTACTCCTGATTAGCTGAAGGGATAATAGGTCACATTCCTTGCACAAGGAAGTGCAAAACTGAGCAATACAAGAAGGAATTAAATCACTATTTTAAACCCCATATTATCCCCAGTCAAAAGGATTGGTAGAAATAGAAAATAGTTTATTTCACAGAATGAGTTTAGCTTCACCTACAGAAAATGTCTGACACCACAGCTATACAAAACTGTGCTGGGCAAATTACCATCTCCTTATGCTATGCTTGTGACTTTTAACTAAATCCTGCAGTCCACTTACCTGAACAGTAGTGGTACTAAGCATAAAATTAAAGTATAAGGAATTTATCCTTCTTTTTAATGGGATAACCTGTTTGGAATTCTTCAAAGTGATTCTCTGTTTTCTTTTACAGCATCCTGCAGCATGACAAATAGAAAAGCCGTGCTCATACTGCCATTCCAGTCACTAATGTCACCAGCACTGTCCCAAAGCCTGAGTTCTGTAGTTTGGTGTGCAAGGAGCTCACATGCACACAAACACAAGACAATTATTTCATTTCTGCAGAGATGAGTGCTAAGTGGTTCATCTACAAGGCTAGTGTGTCTTTGCTGTAGTACTGATTTCTTTTGTGGGACACAGAGTCACCTCAACTGACTCTACTGATAGCATTTACCTGCTAATTTTCATTTCAATTTCAAGTGGTAGTGCTTTCTACTATCGATTCCATTTAGAATCACAAAAGTTGGAAAAGTGCTCTAAGATATCTACTCCAGCTGTAAATCCAACACCACCATGCCCACTAACCCTTGTCCCTGAGTACCATATCTACCTTACTAACGCAAGTCATTCTATGATTTGATGACTCTGTGATTCTACGATCTTCTAAATGTTCTTTTAAACCAAGCCATTCTGGGATTCAGTGATTCTATAACGCAATTATACACACAATTACCAACTTTAAGTGGCCTTGCAGGGTAAAGTAAGCAAACTTTACAGGTTTCCAGGTTTCCAGGTCTGGTTTGGATGCATTTCTTCCTAGCTGGGATCTAAACATCACAGATGGTCCAGTGTGGAAAAGAGACGTGACACTGCCAGCCAACATGTGTATGACATTCCTTCAGTCCAAACGAAAGTCACCTCTGATGACCAAAGAGCATGCAGACAGAAGCCCATCACTGACACACAGATCTATCTCACTGAATTGCAAGCACCAAGCTGATGTGCCCAAATCAGAAGCGTGATGGTCCCCTTCAGATAATGAAGAGAGACAGGCAGTTACACAGAACAAATCAGTTTTTGCCTTGAATTGCTTCAGAAGTTTCTCTCTCTATTGGCTGTAAATTAAGTTACTGTCTGCCTGCCACATGTTAAGTTTCAAGATATATTCTCTCTGGGATGGAGAGAATATCTGAAGGACATAAATGGGTACTTGAAGTCAGCTTGAATCTCTGTAACATCTCAAATCAGCCTTCTCTGCCTAAGAGGTTCCATGCCACTTCATCCTCTCCCTATGATATTGCCTCTAGTCCATAAAGCTTTCTTGTTCTGTTGGTAGGGATGTTATATATTGAGGTTCTCTTGTGTAGCCAGCACCCTCCTCCAGAAGAGGTTTAGCTGCTGTCACAAATTCCTCATGCAACCTTCCCTCTGAGCCTCTTGGCAACACTCCCTCCAAGCCTTAAACCATTTCTGTGCTGCTTCTCACCTTAATCCCCCTTGTAGATAAATGACATTTCTGTCCTGCTCCTGCGAGCGTGTCTGATGCTCTGTGACGTGGTCGTATCACCATGAGCTTCACCTTGTTTCTGCTCTAATGATGAAAAGCCAGTCCCCAAACAGTGGTCAAACCACCAGCCAACCATCTCCTCAGTGTAATTGTTCAGTGTGACACCGTGTGATGTATGATTGGACCCTTTTGTTCAATTTGGATCAGTTGTCTTGGTTCTGTCCTGTCCTCTCTTCCTACGCATCCCCAGCCTCTTGTCAAGGAAGTAAAGTATTTGGCATTGTATAAGCACAGTTCAGTGACACCTAAAACACTGGTGTGTGACCAACATTATTGTCATCCAAAATCCACAGCACAGCACACTATGCTGAAAGTTAATTCTATCCTAGCTGACATTAGTACAGGTTGTCATCTTGCCTGCCCACAAAGACAGCTTGATGTGGCTGACCAAATTAGAGACAGTGTCAATATTGAGATGAAGACTTTAGCACCCTACTTTGATGGGATAAAGCACTCATGCTGTGTTAATGGGTACAAAGCACAACAAATAACAATAAAAATAATAATAATAATCTGTGTTAGACCCCAAGTCTTGATTGGACATCCTCAGCATGGGAAATGGTGGGTGAAACAGAAATGTGTCCCTCCTCCGACACAGTTCCAGCTGTCCCCCTCCTGCCTTCCACAAATGCTTGTTGTTGCCTCAACCCCAGAAATCGCTCTGCTTTCCCTTTCTGGGAGGAGGGCTGACACACCAGATAAGCTGTGATGTCATTCAGTGACACTTGGATAGGCTGAAGAGTTGGACAGACAAGAACATTATGAGGTTTGACAAGTGCAGAGTCCTACACCTGGGCAGGAATAACAGCATACAGGCAGAAGTTAGGAGCTTACCAGCTGGAAAGGAGCTCAGCACAGTAAGACCTGGGTGTCCTGGTGGCCTTGAGTCAGCAGTGTACTTTTACACCTAAGAAGGCCGATGGCTTCCTGGGCTGCATTAGACAGAGTTTAGCTAAAAGGGCAAGGGAAGTTCCCCTTCTCCTCTACTCTTCCCTGAACTACTGCAGAGAGTCCAGCAGAGATGACTGGGGCCTGGAGCACCTCACAGGGACACGACAAGGATCAACAGGCACAGACTGAATCCAGGAAGCTCCATATGAACACAAAGAAAAGATTCTTTACTTTGAGAGTGAAAGAGCACTGGAACAAGTTCAACAGAGAGGTGGTGGAGTCTCCTCCTCTGGTGATATTCAAAATCTGCGTTACACTTTCATGTTCAGTATACCTTGTGGAAGCTGCATTAGCAAAAAGGCTGGTCTAGGTGATCTTTAGGGTCCCTCACAATCCCTGTGATTCTGAGTGATACTGTGGGAGCCTTTTGCTTGCCTACCTGGCATCTCTAAGATCAGGAAAATTAACACCACCAGGAAAAAGGCTTCTTTGTGTGGTGCTGAGGGACCAAATTCCTTTTTCTAGCTACACCTAGGAACTAGTACTCTATTCCAGCCACAAAATCCCTGTGTGCCCCCATTCCCCCACTGACGGTCCAGAACCAGCTGAGCTGAGAGGACTTGTTTGCTTATCAGATTCCCAAAACAGTTCAATTTCACAATCCTACAGCCTACATCACGTAGACTACTGCTAATGGCACAAGATTCCTGGCAGAGATTTGGCTTCTGAGCCAGGTTTGGTTGCTGAGCCAGGGGAAATGAAGTGAGGTTTTGGAATAGAGAGGAGGAGCCAGGGCTGTAGGGAATTCTCAAATACCCCGTTGCTTGGGTGCATGTCCTGCCTCCTTCCTGCAGTAATCTCTGCAAGCAACATGACATTTATCCTCCTGCGAAGTCTTTGGGGTAAGTGGAGTTCTTTTCTCTTTGATTTTATCTTGGCATACCGTTGCCAGTTGTTCTCTGCCATTACTGCTTTTTTTCCTATGGCACAAAGCAAATGTGACACTGCAAGTAAGTGAAATGCAGCTGGTGGTGTCTGCAGTGAGCTGGATCCTCCTCTCAGTTAGATGCCTGCAATTAGTCATCCATATCTGACAGCTCTGTGTGGATGCTCAGATCCCCTCTTTGGAATCTCAGACATCCACAGCTGGACAGCTGGGAGCTGCCCCTACCAGTCACTTCCAAGGGCCTCATTCAGCATCTGAATGCCAACCCTTATGAGAAAACTGCACACGGCTGGGTTCCCTGCCCTTGTTTCTGTTATGTAGAGCCACAGCATCTGTAGGTTTCCATGCGTCAGAGACAGGAGCAGAACTAGAAATCTTAATACTATGTAAAAGAAAGCCAAGTGGAAAATGGATTATGCTAATGCCACTTGTGGTGTCAGCAATGCTGCCCTTGCCTCAGGCTTTTAACCAATGCTTGGGACCTTGCCAGACTGCCACATTTAGGAGCAGAAACTGCTGTTTGCACTGAGCCCTTTTTTGCTGCTGACCTTCCATAGTACATACAAAGTCTCTTTCTCCTGACTTCGCAGAACAAACAGATCCTGGCAAGCTCTGCTCTCCTTTCCAGGGTTTGCTTCAGCATCTATCCAATCTCCACATTAAGCAGTAGCCACATTGCACAGGCTTCCATTTCAAAAGCAATTCTTTGCAGAACCCCATAATCAGAGTTGTCCATGTTGCAATTCACCACATCTTGGATGGGATGGGTATGCATTGTTCCACTGATTACTGCAGAAGACTAGGTAATTTAATCAGCTTGGAGAACAACTTGCTGTTGTGAGTATGGATGAGAGGAGGAGGGAAATCTCAACTGCGCTGTTATATTTCGTCATTACTTGCCCAAATAATTATATTTTTCCCAGTACACACACCTATATATATGTGTGTGTGTGTGTGTATACTCACTTTTTCTTCCTTTATCTCTTCCTTTATCTCTTGATCCCAGAAGCTGCATGCACTGAGAAAGGGAAAACCCACTGGCAGCAGGGCTTGGAAGCCTGAAAACAATGATGAGCTGTAGCATTGCTCTCAGTGTGTCATCTCTTGTCTGATGTCTTGCTTTCCTGAATCCCCATATTTTGTGAACCAATAAGACTCACAGTAACATCTTATATTTCTTCTATTCCAGCTTACCTTGCAAGAGTTCTGCTGGTAGGTCAGTATTTGTATCAGTCAGTGGAACTGTGAGTGAGCATTCACTTCTGTCATAAAATGCCACACAAAACCATGCTGTGTACGATCAAAAGATTCAAGTGTGGTACTCAGACACCTTGGTCCAAATCCTGCTACTGTGGCAAAGGATTTTCATAGAATTATTGAGGTTGTAACAGACTTCTAAGATCATCTAGTACAGCCATCAACCCATCACCAACATATTCACTATATGTGTCCTTCAGTGCCATACCCTTTTCTTGAACATCCGGGACAGTGATTCCACCCCTCCCTGTGCAGCCTGTTCCAGTGCCTAACCACTCTTTCTGAGAATAAATTTTTCCTAATTTCCAACCTGAACCTCCTTTGGCACAACTCAAGGCTATTACTTCTTGCCCTATCACTACTTCCTGTGACTGACGCTCAGAATTGATGTCATTTGCACCGAGTGCATTTCATTCAATTCTTCTGTGTACCAGAAGAGTTGAATTTTTTTTTATATATACATGAAATTAGCGTAAGTAAGCATCTATTTCTGGAATGTAGAGAGTACATCTTTTAACAGGACAAGGGGAAATGGCCTTAAGTTGCACCAGGAGAAGTTTAGGTTGTATATTGGTGTAGGGAACCTGCTTTGGCAGGGGGGTTGGACTCGATAATCTCTGGAGGTCCCTTCCAACCCCTACAATTCTGTGATTCTGTGATATCAGGAAAAACTTCTTTACAGAAAGACTTGTTAAGCATTGGAATGGGCTGCCCAGGGTGATAGTTGAGTCACCATCCCTGGATGTGTTTAAAAATTGTTTGGATGTGATGCTCAGGGACATGACTTAGCAGAGGGTTATAAGAGTTAGGGTAGTATGGTTAGATCATGGTTGGACTTGATGATCTTTGAGGTCTTTTCCAACCTCAATGATTCTGTGATTCTAACAGTGACTCATATATGCCCATACAACCTCTGCATCTTGTGCAAAGTGTCACACTGGGATACAAATATTTAACTGACTGCTTGCTGTCATTTCACCTCCTTTTAGCCAAGACTTTGAAATCTCACACATCCCGATCAGACGGAGCTGTGACAACCCACAGCACCAACACGGGTCCTCATCCCATCGTTACCCCCACCCCCATCTCATTACAATCATACCATCCCTGTATGTCCCACTCCCCCCCAGTATCACCACGGGCCCTCAGCTCAGCGCCATCCCCATCCCATTACAGCCAGACCGCCTCCGTACGCCCCAACCCCGCAGCAGCAACATGGACCCTCATCTCACCCCCTCCCCGTTACAACCAGACCCGCCCAGTTTCTACCTAATATCAACACTGCCCCTCTCACCTCACTGCTCCCACCCCGACTTTACAACCAGACCCTCCCAGTATAAATTTTATACTTTAAAGCCGTTCCCTCAGGACTCACCCGGGGCCACCCCAGCCGGGCCCCTCCGCCGCCCCCCCCTCACATCCGCCCGGCGCCGCTGTACGGCGCCTTCTCCCCCGTGCCAACTTCCGGCCGCGCTGCGCCGAGCGTGACGCTACTTCCGGTAGCAGAGAGCGTAACGTAACGTGAACCGATGTGGGTAGGGCGCATGCGTACGACTTGTGCGGTACGCGGGGCTGCGCATGCGCAAATAGCGGGCTGGCGGGGCGGCAGCTGAGCGGTGAACCATAGCAGCTGCTGTGTTGTGCCTTCCTGTCCTTTCACTGACTTTTTTTCCCCCTTCTTTAGCCACATTGTTCTTCTATCATTCCTGATCCAACTTTGCTTTGCGTGGCTGAGCGTGTGGCTTTGTAATTTGGAGACCTTGTGGGACTGGAATGGCCCCCAGAGGAGGAGTAAGGCACCGCGAAAGGGATTTCTTTCGATCCCTACGTGGTGCTGAGTCAGCAGGCTGAACGCAGGATCTGGAGGCTGTTAGAAAGCCTCCAAGAACCATGCTGGAAGTTGTAGACCATGAGGTCTCTGTTAGGCTCCCCTTCTTTGAGCCAAGCAAACCAAGACACTTCAATGGCTCCTTGTACTTCTCCAGACCTTTCCCCAACTTCATAGCCCACCTTTGAGCACTCTTTAACAGTTTTATATCCCTATATGGTGGAAACCAAAACAGTACAAACAGTGCTTGAGGTGAGGCTGCCCTCTGTGGGGCATCCACAGCTTCTCCGGGCAGCCTGATCCTGTGCCTCATAAATAAAGAATTTGCTCCTAATATCTAACCAAAATTTCCCTTCTTTTACTTAAAATCACAGAATCACAAGGTTGGAAACGACCTACAAGATCATCTAGTCCAACCACCCTCCCATTCCTGTTAGTACCACAAGCTACTAAACCATATCTCGTAGCTCCTCATCCAGGCGCCTCTTGAACACTGCCGGGGACAGCGACTCCACAATTCCTCCTTGCCCTAGACAAAAATCCATTCCAAATCCATTCCTCTTTGCCCTAGACAAAAAGTTCCTTTCAGTCTTAAACCTGTAATTCTGTGATCCCAGACGCTACAGCAAGAAGTGCGGTGGGAGCTTATAGAGTCTCCTTTTTCTGAGTAAATAAGCCATGAAGAACCATGGCGTCTGTCCAGCCCTCTCCTCTCCTCTCCTCTCCTCTCCTCTCCTCTCCTCTCCTCTCCTCTCCTCTCCTCTCCTCTCCTCTCCTCTCCTCTCCTCTCCTCTCCTCTCCTCTCCTCTCCTCTCCTCTCCTCTCCTCTCCTCTCCTCTCCTCTCCTCTCCTCTCCTCTCCTCTCCTCTCCTCTCCTCCCCTCCCCTCCCCTCCCCTCCCCTCCCCTCCCCTCCCCTCCGCTCCCCTCCCCAGAAGTGAGAGAAGTTGATGAGACAATCCAGCCCTCTATTAACCATAGATACCCTAAGGAGCTTGGTCCAAGGGGGAATTCTCTAAATCCCAGTCACGTCCCATAGGATGTGCTTGTGGCTGGGAAATCCCAGGGCATCTCAGCCTGCTATGGCTGGTGTTTCCTAGGTCTGCCCTGCTCTGCACTGAGCATCCAATCGCACTCAGGACAGGCAGACAGGGTGAAGCAGGAGGTGTTGCCCAAACTGTGAAATGCACCCTGCACTGCTTCTGGTGGGGACAGAGTTAATTTCCTCCCCAGCAGTTCTGTCATGCTAGTGTTTGGATTTATGATGAAAACAATGAAATGAAAGCACTCAGATGCCGTTGTTGCAGAGCGGTGCTTGCACAGAGCCAAGGACTCTTCAGCCTCTGATACTGCAGGAACTGGGTGGGACAGATGACCCCAAATGGTTCGAGGAGGTATTCTATACTATGATGAGCTCAGCAATGAAGGATGAAGAAAAGAAGGAAGGGAGGAACATTTAAAATTGCGATGTTTGTCTTCTCCATTAACCATTATGCAGGATGGAAATAACTGAAAATCTGCCTGCTGATGAGAAGAAATGAACTAATTCCATATTGTGCCTTGCTTGCACATGCAGCTTTGGCTTTACCTGTTAACTTCTATTTCAGCTGGCGAGTTTTCTTGCCCATTCCTATTCATTTCTCTTCCCCATCCTTGCCAGATGCGGTGTTAGGGCAACAGACCTGTACAGGTCCTACGATGAAAAAGCAGGAGAACAAAGCAGCTGCAGCCACCCGAGGCAGGGGGGCTGGATTTCCAAGTCTGGTTTCTGACTGCTTTCCCTGCAAGAAGTGAATGAGGAAACCAGTTCTTGTGTTTGCTTTCAAACGAAGAGTCAATGTTTGCACAGCTCTGATGAAGCTGCTCAGGTTGC